GATATTTAGAAATCTATATTCCGAACAACCTTGTGTAATTATTGGAATAAATGGATTATGTTGTAACAAAACTGATGGTTCTGGTAATTAACCTTTGTGAATTACAAAAGATGAAACAATCGTGTAACTGTTTTTAAATATACCTTGTAACTGTTGAAAATGTCTATTTTTATTGTGAAGTTCCTGAAACAGGTTACTATAAACAAAAATCAAAAGAAGCCTTCCATTGCTTCAATGTAAGTACAATAATGAGATGCTAAAGGGTTATCACAGATTAAAATTCTCATCATCAGTGTTCGGGACCAATCATAAGTATTACACGTTGCAAAAAAAAAAAAAAAAAAAAAAAACAACAACAAATATACCGTCATAAAAGAATACACAACACCAGTTCACAAAGATGATACCCTTAAATACGGAAATGATTACTTTAATCATTCGGCCCACCATAGTGTTAATACACAGTAGTTCATTATTGCCGCATTTCATGTATAAAAATTTATGTTAAGGAAATCAGTTTTTTGTATTCTAAGAGTTGTAAACAAAACTGTTTTCGACAACCGTGGTGTTTTTATTTTTTCTATTTGACAGTTTGACCTGTGTTATTGGAAAAGGCACCATCTACCAAACAAATGGAATATTCATATCAGTAAATGCAAATAACTTCAGCGAATCAAATGACACTTACTACGTCTTTAAGGTATTTCACAAAACAGAATGGAATGCATCAAATTGCCTTGCTCGATTATTTTTGTATACAATAAATAAAGAGTTTTCTCTTTTTATCTTCATTTGCAAACAGTGTTTTAATGACACAAGGACGAGGCACGCTTTGGTATAAATTGGCCCTTACATGAGTTGTGATTTTTTTTCTAACTGCAGACTTGAAAGTTAAATCAATGTTCTTTAACAAAATACTAAGGTTTCAGTTGTTAAAACATCCTGTTTATTGTGAAATATGCTAAATATTTTGAAAATTTGACACACAGATGCTAAGAAATGATATAGACCACGTCCGTCGTCAGAAACAATATTTACAGGATTTTTTTTTCAGGTTTATTTATTTGCTGACAAAAAACATTCTTTTGGTGACTATTGTGCTCTATCTTAATTTAGCCAAAATGTTCATGAAATTAGAATATTTTTATTTAACATTGTGTAAATCGTCATTATAACGTCACTTCAATGATATCACCACCCAATGGCGTCAACAAGAAAAAGCTTATATCGTAATTTTCATAAAGCCCAACATTAAGCAGGTTAAAGATATAACCAATGATTAATATAATCCAATCGTTGGTTTTTCGGGGGTAAATTTACAGGGCCAAAATCAGTCCTTAATCACACCTTGTCTTTTGATAAATAAATCGTGTGATTGGTTTGGCTAACTACCAACATTATTAAATTGGGTTAAAACATAAATTAGAAAGAAATAAATATACTATAGCAAAATAAGCATCATACAGTTTTTTTTTCGGCAATTTCACCTAAGAGGAAATTCTTATCCTTTTATAAGTTGCATTTAATGACGATTCATTTCAAGAGATTTTTCTGCACTTTAAAACATTTATGAACAAAGTAATTCCAATAAATCTTATAGGAACATATGCCATGCCAGCTTGATCAATAAAGAAATAAAACTAGTATCGTATTAGTCGTAACCAATGAAAGGAAATCGTTTTGTTGGTTTTATTTCAGGAACCTATAATCTTAGGATTCTCTCCAACGACAGGGATCGTCGTTGGTGGCACAACTGTTACAATAAGTGGAAGCGACCTAGAATTCGAAGGACACAATCGATACAATATTTCGTTTTGTAACATTGAAACTTGTATACAATGCAGGTATAGTAGTTTTTGCTAATAACGATATGACCTTGCATTTAGTGTCAATGGAATCGATTTGTACACATATATATAATACTGAATGTATATTTGTCAAACAGTGCACATGCCTAATATTTTAGTGCAAGACCTACAATCGCATAACTTGAAGTGCACGGCAACATAACGACAACATTGCCTGGGCAACAAAGCTGAACATTCACATCAAGAACCAAGTCTTACTAAAATTTCTTGTATTAGGAGAATCAAATTTTGAGATCAGCCGGCCAATTAAAGATTGGAACGTATCTAAAGCACGTAAAGAAAAATATAGAAAAACAGAGAACAATAAAACACAAAAATTGTATGACATTACAATTGACAAAATCGGTTTAGAAGAAAGATATTCTGAAAGGATAACAGACACGAACAACGACTAGACTATATTTATATGGGAATTTAGAATAAGCATCAGATAACAACAAGACTGATAGTTAAAGCTATCCATATAGATGAGATACCAAAGAGACATTCGAGCTTATAAGTCGGAAACAATCTGTCAATGCCATGGCAAAAAAAAAAAACGAAGAAAAGACTGAAGCCTGAACAATATCTAATGCGTTATTAGAGTTATTTTCAAAATCGGTGGTCATACGATCTTGCTAAAAACCCTAATAAAAAAGCTGTTTTTTTCCCGTTTAATGCATTGCTCTGTGGTTGTAACACACAATGACTTAATTGCAGTGATGGAGCCAACATTTGGTTAAAAGACAACATCACAAAAAGAAATAACTAAATGGTCATTTATGACAAAGTTTCTGGACATTATTCTAATGAAATAGCTTCATATCTTCTGAAAAAAAAACCTATTAATTAAGTAAAGAAATTAGTGACGACTGAAAAGTGGCCTCTGTAAAAATTGTCATTAAAGTATACATGAGAAACTAACAAACTGTTTGAAATCAAGTACAACACAAACAACTTGATATCAGTACACAATTTTTCATAAGGAAAAAATAATGTTTTTATCTATATTTATCGCATTATAAAGATAAGAAGATGAGGTATGATTGCCAATGAAACAACGCTCTACCAGAGACAAATATGGCGTAGAAGTTAACAACGTTTTGTCTATGTTCCTCTAATAACAAACGTCCGTAAATATCTTTACAAAATATTCATTATCAGTTAAAAAATTGGTTTTGTCCTGCAAATATCATGTTCACATTATCGTAAAGATTCAAAATAAAATCGATACAGAGGTTTTTGGTTATTTAATACAGTGCTATACGAAATACCTTCAGTTCAAAGTCCATCATGTGCAAAACAGGACAATCAGGAGAAGTTCGAAATATGACTCAGTTGCAGCTTGTGATTGATGACTTGACAGTGTTAACACTTAACGAAACTTTTCAATATTTACCTGATCCAACATTCGAATTGTCAAATGAAACAGTGTGGGCCATGCAGAGGTATGGGTATTTATAATATTTTAAATGTGCTTATTAGTTCAATGTTAATAGTTATCAACTTATTAGCGTAAATGGAATTGAAATCGTTTCATTCTGCTTTTGTTATACTCAACACCTCTCTTTTTATACGATTGGTGTTATAATTTTAATCTGAAATCAAAACCATTTAAAAACTTCTCTCAAGCCATGCATTACCTTTTATTGCTGTGATGCTCATTTTCATTCTATAGTGGAGGTGTAACATTCACAATTCGTGGCGAAGGGTTCTGGAATGTAGGACAAGTCACAGTTGAAAGAGTGGTAAGAAAAAATATTCTAGATATATATGAATTACTAGACCAGCCTCCTTTTTTCAATTTGAACATTTACCGGTATAGAGAAGATAAACATTACATCATACTCGTTGCAAAGTAAAATGACAGTATACATTGCAAGCGTCCGAAGAGCTTTTCTGTATTTTCCTTCATCAGGAACACTAAATCCCACACATTTAAAATCCAGTGGTGTATATATACGTAGAAACGTTAGAAGTTATACGAGGCAATGATGATACATTTACTTTGAAGCACTGACAATCTGGACCATATATTTATACAAAAAAACAATTGCAAAATTTTTAGTTTATTTAACACATTAGTTAATATAATGTGTTAGGATAAGGCCTGCAATGTACCAGTATTTAACTTTGAATACATAATTCATTTTACAAAATTTAGCTAATTATATTAAGTGTTTATTAGGATAAACCTTGCAATGTACCAGAAGATACTTCCACTGTCTGTAAAACACCTTCCAAAATACAGAATCAACCAAATAATCAAACTGTTCATGTTCATTTTGATGGCGTTATACGTCCAATAAACATAGTATATGTAGACGATCCTACCTTCGAAAAGTTCTCAAGTGTACTCGAATATGACCAAGAGTCGTCTATCCAAATTAAGGTAAGGATAAAAAAAATTAAAGTTTTTTCCTATTTATAAGATACTCACGGAATGTGTTCGTAAAATTGCTAAAAACGTGATCAGGAAAACTGAAACCAAACAGGAAAAATCCAACCAAACAGAAAAACTCAAACCAAACAAGGAATCTTTTCGATAGGTACAAATTTTGTAAACAGAAATCCATTTAAGAACAGTGAATGTTTTTACCTGAATATCGACATACCTTGTGATGTCGAAGCATGCACAAATACTTCTAAACATTAATATATTATTAGCACATAGCTGTGACAAATGTATAATAACGAGACGATATATGAACAAAAAAACAAATATGCCAACCACTAGTTGCACAGTAATTGCTTAGAATTTGAGGGCACTTGCGTTCAGCACAAGGTTTTTTTGATCCGTGAAGCGCCAAGAAATGCTTATTGGCTATTGTCTTTTTTTCTTAATTTTGTTATGTCACGATGTTGTGTGTCTATCAGCGGATGATCCTCCCTTTATTAGACCTTTGCTTATAGAAATAAAAAAAAATTCTAAATTTGAAACTCGGACTCATTGTAGCGCGCTCGCACCAATCGTAGAGGTCATAGGTTCGATCGTTTGTGGGTTTGAACACATCATCATCATCATCATCATCATCATCATCATCATCATCAATATCGACGATGGAGATCTGCCGCACTTCTCCTTTTATTCTTAAATACTTCAATAATATTGCTAAATATTTTTCCTTGATTTTCTTCGTAGGGTAGAAATATTTTATATGGAGCACGTCGTCAAGACTACAGTGTACATGTTGGGTTGGATGGAAATTGTCTCATTACTGAAATAAAGATGCAATTTATCATATGTTTCCCTCCAAAATCAGTACCTAGGACTAATAAAACAGACGACAATACTGTTCATGTTATTGTAAGTGCAATTTACAATTTAAGGGGTTTAAAGTAAAATAAATGAGAAGCCACATGCTGTTATTTTAAGGAACATTCTTAAAACTGTTACAGCCATTGCAATAACCACCCTTGTCATACAAACACGCATCACACGTAAAAACATAGTTACAGTCACACCAAATTCACACGCAAAGAAACTTTTGGAGGAACCATTAACGCCATGCATAGATAAGACATACATTAAAATGGTCATAAGTAAAAAGCTGTCTAAAAAGAGTTGTAGGCTCATGGTTGAAGTTACTACAATTTCTTTCTTAGTTTAATCATTTAAGTACAGAAATTATGTCAAACTACAACAACGTTATTGGCAAGTTTAAAAGCAAAACGTTCTCTTGTCTGTTTTAAGTCAAAATGACGAAAGAGTAAGAAGATATTGTATAACGTTACATTTGAAATCCTTAGTACGCTTATTAAAAAGACTCCTGCATGTTTTAAAAGAAGTACCCACCGATTTTATATACAGATTTTTAACTTATGCACAAGGAATTACAGTACGAAGAAACCAATTCGATGGTAATTTTATTGCAATCGGGAACATAATGATGTCATTTTTTTAGAATAAATGTACTCAATGTATATGGCCTTATACAATGATAAAGGATAACAGCTTCAGAAAAAGGATAATATATTTCGACCTTCAACATAAAAAATACGTTTGTGATCGGTTAGCCTGACCCTATAACGGATGACTAAAAGGCTGTAATAAATCGAAGAGAACTGAAATGGATACATTTGTTTATGGTGTTTTCTGATAATTTTAGATGTTTTTAACTTAGGACAGTGAAGAGTACTGAGTTATTAATTCTAGTGTTTTTGAAGATATTAAAAAGATCTTTAAGATTGACAGAAGAATAGTGATATTTCGGTTTATCTTACCTAAAACGCATACTATATAATCTTTGTTTATTTCTCACTGTTATGTTTTTTTACGCTTCTCTGTCCCATGGTATTATCATTATGAACAAGAGAGGAGAAAGATACCAAAGGGACATTCAAACGCATAATAAATAAACTTACAATGCCATGTTAAAAAATGAAAAAGGTCAAAAGACAAACAACAGTATACACAACACAACATAGACAACTAAAGACTGAGCAACACGAACCCCACAAAAAATCGGTGATGATATCAGGTGCTCCGGAAGAAAAGCAGATCTTGAGACAAGTGGATATACAGTTTGGTGTATTAATCCAGATAATTATATAATGTTCTTGACTTTTCAAACTGTCTGTTTGTTTGTCCGTTTTCTCTTATTGAACAATTTCCAAAGTTTGAATTGTATAATAATCTGTATATTAATATTGTTTTCGTTTGGATGATGATAAGCTTAACATTTAAACTTTCAGGGTCTCCCAAAGCGATGTAGGTGTTACGCCGTGTGTTGGTATTTAGCATGCCTACAATCTCATATGTTCTGAACATTACAACCCCAGCTTAGTTTAAGTCTTTAAATAAATTGGACTCGAAGCTTTATAATTTTTTTTAGAATTGTACATGTTCTGTGTTTTTTTCCTTCTTCATATTTATTTGCATACCTTGTAAAGAAGATATACTATCATTACTAAAAAACTAAATATGCTAGAACTTTAGACTTGTAAACGATTTTTTTTTTTATATCAATAGGAAAAAGTCACGCAATGGTGGAAAGTTGAGCGTTTCAAGAAGTGTCCTGAGGCCCGATACGTTGTATAATACATACTTCTAAAGGTGCTTTATTGTACTATTTAGAAAATAGAAATATTAAGAACAAAATAATTATGTATATAAATAGTTTATCTTTAAATACTACAGGTTGTAGTTAGTACGATCATGGCGTACATCGGTGATTTACAGTATACAGAAGTTGACAATCAGTTCTCTCTTATTGTTGGACTTTTAACTGGTGGATTGGTTACATCTGTTATTACTGGCATTACGGCTGTAATAATTTCAAGGAGGAATAAGAAAAGAGCTATCAAAATATGTAAAATGGAAATGAGCAAAGGTAGGAAATGCTGTTTTAATTGTGTTGAACAAAATGTGGAAATCTACGCATGTTTTCATTTTTTACAGCACTGGGTCGATTTCTCTGCTGGTGAACTATCAGTCCCCGAGGGTATCATCAGCTCAGTAGTCAGTATTTCGGAATGGACATGATTTATAACAAAACTTTCTAAAATTGTCCGTTTATAAATTTTGAAATTATTAAGAAACTAAGGTTTCAACTCCCTCAGGCAAAGTTGGCCTTAGAAGGATTTGACTATTATTTTAGGTCCTTTTTGATTATACATCCTTGGCTTTCAAATATTCGGCTTTGAGTGTTCCTGATGAAGGTATATCTAGAAAAGCGCTTCGGACGCATTAAAATTATAACGTGTTTTTTTCATTTACAGCTCTGGGTCGATACCTCTGCTGGTGGACTATCAGTCCCCGAGGGTATCATCAGCTCAGTAGTCAGTATTTCGGTACTGACATGATTTATAACAAACCTTTCTAAAATTGTCCGTTTATAAATTTTGAAATTATTCAGAAACTAAGGTTTCAACTCCCTCAGGAAAAGTTGATTTAGAAGGATTTTGCTATTATTTTTGGTCCTTTTTTTATTATAAAGCTCTTCAACTGTTTCGGTTCTTATACATCCTTGGCTTTCAAATATTCGGCTTTGATCGTTCCTGATGAAGGTAAATCCAGAAAACGCTTCGGACGCATGAAATTTATAACGTGTTGTTTTCATATTTTTCACCCATGTATGTGCAAAAGAGTTGACGTAAATAATAATGCATGTCTATAAGAGGCCAACTGAAAAATTAGATAAAGTGCCCACAACCCTGGCTTATTCTTATTTCACTAAAACTATATATTTATAACAAGTGACATATTCCCAACTCGTCTTCGATCAAATGTATAGGTTTTAAGTATTCGGCTAAAGCTAAATGGGGAAATATGAAAAAAAAACAATTTAAAAAAATTATTTAAGTGAGTATATGTTTTAGTACAAGTATATGAAAACAATGTTTACATTAAGCAAGTAAGAAAAACAAATATTGGTATACAATTATCTCAAAATTCTTGTTATCTTTAAGTAACATGTCCGTCTTAATTGATAGATTTTAACAATAATTACTCCTGATATGTCAAAATCTCACCTCAAATAATGTCTTTTAGCCGGATCAGTGTTTTACTTATTCACGTATTTAAGTACATTGTAACACATCTCAAAAGAATTATTGTTGTAATACTTCTTTTGAAGAACTATTTACAATGCAATACACATTATGATAAGGACGTGTACAGTATAGCAAAAAGTAAAATTGCAAAAACACCGAACTTTAAGGAAAATTCAAATTGGAAAATCCCTTATCAAATGGTAAAATCAAAAGCTCAAACACATCAAACGAATGGAAAACAACTGTCATATTCCTGATTTGGTACAGGCATTTCCTTATGTAGAAAATGGTGGATTATACACAGATAAAAATATATTAGATGTAATCTATACACTGTACATTACAGATTCAATGTATTTCAAACAAAAGCTTAGAAAAAAGATAAGACCACCATTTTAAATATAACTATGTTGGTGACGTGAATGTTTGTTTACGTAGTGTACAATAGTTTAAAGTTCGTGCTCATATAGTATTTTCAAAACTTTAAAGACATTCTTGATAATTGAACCAAACAGTTCAATTAAACGGTCTTACGGAAACACAGTCTATTGGCTAAGAATTCTAGCTGAAATCCGATCGCTTTGTATTTATGACAGCCTGGAATCTAATGGTCCTGAATTGAAAACTGGTCGTATTTAATTTTATCTGCTTATTTCAAAGTCTTTTTAGAATACTTTAAATTCAGAAATTATTGCAAGGTTTTTATTAGTGCGAATATTACGACTGAGTGAGTATCTCAATAACAAGAACTCGCATTTTCATATCTGACGCATATTTCCTTATGCTGATTTTCCTGAAATCGCGATAACTAATCTCGCATTTATGTCCTTTCTTCAAAAATCGCAATAATAAATGAACGCGATAGTTTTTAAATTTACAGTATTTCGTTTATGTTAATATCATATTTATATATTACATTGTTTATGGTCCGTAGAATTCATGTACTAGCTTAATACTGCTAATTGACTTTTATATTCTCTAATGGTCTCTTTATGATCTCTAATGGTCACTCTCTTAGAAAGAAGTATTGGGAATACATCAATACGTCTATGGTGTACATGTTCCGTGTTCAAAACAGTTTACACAAGTTCATGAAATTGTTTAAAAATCAATATAATTTTTTTTAGTAAATGGATTTTGTCCTAAGTGTGTGACTTAACTATATACCAATTATATTACAATACATAAACGCCGCTTCAGTTTTTTGTGTATGTATCAACCAGTTAGGAATTGAATACCAAACCTGTTGTAAACTCTAAATGTTTGTGTGTTTTAGACTTGTCGGAAAGGATAGAAAACTCAAGGTTTGTATAAAAGAATAAAGAAAAAAAAAAAACTCCGACATTAGATTCAAAAAGGGGATGTCAATAATACCTTTCAAAATCAAACGCTCAACTTTGTCAATCAACGGAAAAGATATATAGATGTTTTTACAATGATAAAAAATAATTGCAAATTTAGGCAACTAAAATGACGTAACAGCCAACTCGTCAATTTCATTAAATTCATAACTTAAAAGAGAGGCGAAATATACCAAAAGGACATTCAAACTCAAAAGTCGAAAATAAACCGATAACGCCATGGCAAAAAAGGAAAAAAGACCAAAAAGACAAACAACAGTACAGAAAACACAACATAACACATACCATATTCCCTTTTGTTTTATTTCTATTTGGAACTTGATTTTATTTATCATTTCTTTTATTCTCGGTCAGACAATTGATCATATCGATTTAGTAATTTGTAAGTCATTATTGTCGTAAATTGAAAAGTATTAATCCATTTATAAATTGATATATTTTTTTTATATATAAATTCAAGCAACTAAGTATCAATTAAATCAGAATGGACCAACTCAACATCACAATTAAGGGGAGAAAAAATACGAAAAGAAAAAGTAGTTACGTGTCTCATATGCATGTTCTAGGGGGACAATCTAATAACAAGGGCGGGGCATTGTTTATTTTGAATTCAACTCACATGTAGTTTAGGTGAATTGCATGCATATTTCGTAGAAATATTAAGAAAAGTCAGACTTATTTGGGTGCATTTTTTCAAGTCCTAAAACAGTTTTTTTAAGTCCTAAAAAACAGTTTTTAGGCAAACTATCAAACTACTAAAACTGAAATATTTTGTTTTCCTAGACAACATGTACAATTCATCTAAAAGAGAAAACTTGCATGCCTATTAAATGAGAACAAGCAACAGGTAATCCAACAGTCAAGTTTCTGCAAAGTCGACCGACTGAATTGAATGAATAGAAGGAGATGGGGTAAAAATCAACGAGACAGCAATCCAACGACACGAAACATACGAAAGACAACTAGAGGTCAACGTGGAGTCGTCAACAATTACACAAAACTCAATCTACTATTACTATCTATTATGATTATGATTTTGATTCTTATTTTGATTCTAATTTTGTTGACTTTTTTCAAATCAGGAATGATAATGAACTTGGACATACTGAGGAAAGTGAGATGGCATATAGCGAAATAAATCCAGTTGCTGAATTGAATAGTTATTCAAGTAGTGTTGGTTATCAAGAGGTGAATACTGGATACGAAGAACTCGGCCGCCGATCGCCTACAAACCCTTATAATCATCTACAACATTCGGCTAATGACAATTAAATACGAGACATGACAAATGTTGATAATCGTGTTTTATAGGCTAGTGATTACATGAACCTAAAATTATAGGATAAATCAAACACAGTTTTTTTTACAATTATTGTCACCATTGTCACCATTGTCACCATTTGTTACCATTTAGATTTGGGGAGAAGTCGGAAGGAGAGGGGGCGGGGTGGGGTGTGCTTATTTTCTTATTTTCTATATGTTTTGTTTTGTACTTTTTTCTACTTTTAAAACTTTTTCTCTGTTTTGTTCTTTATGAAACGAGACATATTTATGGTTTTATTTGTAGTTTTTCTCATGACTTTAACACTTATGCACATATCTTTGGTCACGAGTGCAAACACATATGATAGATCTCATAGAAGTTTTGATTTAACTCGTCTTTGAAACAAAGACAATAAACTTGATCACAGATCAGCTTAAGAGATTAGACAAGCAAAACGCATTCAATTCAAGAACTGTATATGTTACAGGCATTTTCTAAATTTAGACATTTTGTAAAATGACTGAATTTTCAGGCAATTTATAAAATGCCTAACCTTAACAGGCATTATATTAAATGACTTAAAAAACCTATTCATTTTGTAAAATGACTGATATTTTGAAACAAAATTCAACAAATTGCCAGTTCAGTTGCAGGACATCATTGAGATGCATATGACAAAAAGTGGACAAAACAAAACATCGTGCAAAGAAAATAACTAATGGTTCGGTAGAATTAATTTATTCTTCAAACCAGCTGGGGGAAGGTTTTTATGTCATATGATATGTTCTTTTTAGTGAAACTACGTTAAGTATGTACTCACTCTGTATTTCAGATAGTAAATTTATGATTATTTTGTCAAAATGGCAGAAGGACAAATTGTTCTTTCAATAGAACAAAATTTACAAACGAATTTTTAGAAAATCTAGATTCAAAACAGTGAAGTGAAACATATGAAGCAGAGAAAAAGAAGTTTGTTTTTAATTGACCAATTGCTGTTTGTTTGCTTTCAGTAGCAAACATTTCATGCATTTTTAAAACAAGAAAAATTTGGTTATGATTCATATGGGTTATTTCTGTAGTGGATTGACCTGGACAGGACAGAAAATTCGACTGCCGCTTGCAATTGAAATGAAGGTATTTTGGAAAGGGACAGAAAATTCCACCTGCAGAACGGTCATAGAGTTCTTAACGTGCAGAGAGTGTTGCACTGTACTAACATGCGGCAATATATTTAATGTCCTTATTCATAAATAATGAGAATTTACACATCTACATCCAAATAAATTCCACTCTATAGCATGGGTTTTTGCCATACAATGCCGTGTTTGGTTGTGATCCAAAGATATGAATATTTTCATTTTCACTGCCTCATGGGAATTCCTGGGTCTTTGCAATCTGATGAATTAATGAGACAGTAATTAACTGTGGTTAAAATCTCGGAAATCGACCAGGAAGAGACAAATAACGGTGCGTTGACAGGGTAAGCGTCTCCTGTTATAGATGCATCACCCGTCATGGGCAGATCTGCTTCAGTCCGTTAAAAGCTATAGGCCAAAAGATACAAGTCAAACTAATCATGATAATGTACTTTGTATCTTTTGGTGTGACGTGTGTGCTTATTGCAAAACCCAATGTTTTCGAACGTTTAGTGTTCTATCAGAAAAGGTAATGACTTGAAAGAGCTAAATGTGCCATGATTCAGGTTTCTCCAAATGTGGTCGAAGTGCTGAACTTGATTTTACGCCAAACAATGTATTTGCAAAAAATCAGGACAAATATTGTGTAACAGTTCTGTTATCCAAACATTTTAAGAAATATCAAATAATTTTCGAGTTCTGTGCTTCTGTGGATTTGGAATAATTCAGTAAAATTTATTTTTGATTATTAAAACTCTTAAAACGCAAGCTTAAACATTCAGTAATTATCATAAATAAAACTGCTCTGTTGTTCAAAGCTTTCAATTTTTTTTTTTAACATTTCTTTCTATAAAATAATTCCAGGCATTTTGTAAAATGCCTTTCAATTTTTCCAGGCATTTTGTAGAATGCCTAGAAAAATTAGTCATTATGTAAAATGCCTGAATCTTGCAGGCATTTTACAAAATGCCTAAATTTAGAAAATGCCTGTAACATATACACCAACCAATCAAGTTCTCAGCAACGAAGAAGAGTTTCTATTTTTTTCTCAAAGAAAATCCTTTCAAACATCTTCTGTCTAATGATGAAAGAGAACATGTGAAGGCGAGATACAAAATGGTATGTCTTACTATTTTTAGAAATATGAAGAATTGCAAATTCCCAGGGGTTAATGTGTATACTGCTAAATTTTATAAATTGTTCAGGCATGATTTAAAACAATATCTTTTGAAATCTTATAATTACAGTTTTGAAACGAGTCATTTGTTAATATCTCAGGCACAAGGTTTAGCTACTTGCCGACCAAAGGAAGGAAAACCAAAATGCCTATGAAACAGCATGAAAAAATGGGCAAATGATCTAACTCTACACTACTCGGCTTAAAGCCTCTTCCGAACATTTGAAAGTCCCGACTATGCACTGGTTACCTAAATTACACAAACAACCATTTACATTTCGTTTCATCTCCGCATCTAGTAAGTGTTCTACTACTAATCTAGTGCTTTTAACTACCTCCCTTACTACTATCAAAGAACTTGTTATTAACTTTTGTAATAAAGCTTATGAAAATAATGGTATTAATTATTTTTCGAGTGTTAAAAATTCTTTAGCGGTTTAAGATACAATACGTGCTTTTGACGGTCCTTTTAATTCTGTTGACAGTTATGATTTTTCTACTCTCTACACTACACTTCCACACAATCTTATAAAAACAAGTTTTCATATTTAATTAAATGGTCTTTTGAAAAATCTCGTTGCAAATTTATTTGCTGTAACTCGTTTAAAGCCTTTTTCTGTAACGAAAAAGGAAACTATGCTAAATACACTTAATGGAAATGTGAAGATATGATTGAAGCTTTAAATTTTCTCCTGGGCAACATTTATTAGATATAAGAAGATGTGGTATGAGTGCCAATGAGACAACTCTCCATCCAAGTCAAAATTTATAAAAGTAAACCATTATAGGTCACAGTACGGTCTTCAACACGGAGCCTTGGCTCAAACCGAACAGTAAGCTATAAAGGGCCCCAAAATTACTAGTGTAAAACCATTCAAACGGGAAAACCAACGGTCTAATCTATATAAAAAACGAGAAACGAGAAACACTTATAAACCACATCAACAAACGACAACTACTGAACATCAGATTCCTGACTTAGGACAGGTGCAAACAAATGCAGCGGGTTTAAACGTTTTAATGGTACCAAACCTTCACCCTTTTTCTGAAACAATAGTGTAACATCACAACATAGAAAGACACACTATAAAATATCAACTGAAATAGCTTAACTCAATCAAAGGAATATTTATGTATGTTTCTGCGATAAAGTGTATCGAGAGGAAGTAGGTATTCCTATGGGCACTAATTGCCCCCTTTAATAGCAGATGTATTGCTATGAATCTCAGTTTATGACCAAACTCAGTAAAGACACGTCATTCTTACATTTGGTTGACACATTCAACAATCCCTACCGTTATCTTGTCGATATTTTTTCGTTAAATAATCCAGAGTTCTCTAAATATACTACCGAAATTACCCACAGGAACTTACATTAAATAAATCTAACATAAACACCAGTAGTTGTCCTATTCTAGATTTAGACATTTCAATTTCTAAAGGGAAACTCCATACTAAAATATAGGTCAAAAGGGACGATTTTCCATTCCCTATTGTTAATTTTCCTTTTTTAGACTGCGATGTTCCTTTGGCTCCATCATACGTTGTTTATATATCCCAACTCGTTCGTTACGCCTGTGTGTGTAGTGATGTCATAGATTTTAACGAACTTAATCAATGCATCACTGGTAAATTATTTAGTCAGGGATTTCGGTACAATAAATTACTTAAAACTTTTACTAAATTCTTTTATAGATACAAAGATTTGATTTGTAAATTTGGCTGCACCTGTAGAAAACTTATTAAAAATGGTATTTCACATCCTAGATTTTTACAGTAATATTGTACTGAAAGCGCGGAAAGCACTATGTGATCCGTGTAAACTCATCGAACCTTTAAACAAACTTATTAGTAAAGGTTATCTTATAAATGTGTTGTAATAAGATCTTTTAATATTGATTACATTGGCACAAATATCGATTTTATCATCAACAAATTAAAACATGACTAAATTGGTATTCTTTTTAGTGGTTTTTTTGGGATGCATGAATACACATCCACGTTCATTTTCTATATAGAGATTGCTTTTTATATATATATATATAACATTATACATATTTATTATAAGGTTAAATCCAAACTATCCTACTGCCTGTCGATATTTTCATTTTGGCATTGCACAATTCATGTCTTCTTTGACAGTCCATGGCGTTAAAACACTAAATCCCTGGGATGTGTTTTGGTTGATTTAAGTCTCTGATGCAAGATTAGATCGTATTTTCGTGTTAATTTGACCTGATGACCTGATGACACAATCTGTAATGCTTTTTTGTGATACAATGTTTACTTATTTTGTGTTATATCTCGTCTCACTGTTTTTAATATGTACCACCTTTGAGTATTTAGTATGGCGATATATTTTCACTTCTGTTCTCGTACTATGAACAACAAATTTATTTATTTTGTAAAAAATATTTCTGTTCTGCTACATGTAACACCAAAATTATCATATTTAAATTTACTTGTGTACGTTACTTTATTTAACGCCATTTTGTTCAAGGTTATAGTTGTCTTTTTGACATCGTTTTACATCCCCCTTTTTATGTAATATTGTATTTATATTGTGTCATAGATAAAATGTATTCGTTCAGTGTATGTTTACTTGTTTTTGTTCATATGTCTTTTTGATTGAGTTAAGCCATTTCAGTTGATATTTTATAGTGTATCTTTCTAAGTTTGTTACACTGCTATTTCAGGTTAGGGTGGAGGTTGGCGCCTGTTAAAAACGTTTAAACCCGCTGCATTTGTTTGCACCTGTCCTAAGTCAGGAACCTGTTGTTCAATGTGTCGTTTGTTGTTTTTTTATATAGATTAGACCGTTGGTTTTCCTGTTTGAATTGT